CTCCTGTAACTGTGCGTCTGTTCCCTGAGTTCAAAGCGCAGTCTCTTCTGGGTTAACCTGTAATTTGTTGATGCCAGGGCGAAGCCGAATTTAATCGCATCATGGGTATAGTGGACCCCAACGGCAGCGGCGCCGTCACCTTCCAGGCCTTTATCGACTTCATGTCCACGGAAACGACCGACAGGGACACCGCGGACCAGGTCATCGCCTCCTTCAAGATCCTGGCTGCTGATAAGGTGAGTGCAGAACGACATCAGTGCTCATTTTTGATTGGACAAGAAAAATACTGGAGAAAGAAATGTGCAGCAGGACGCTGACCACCAGCAGAGGGAGTATTTGTGTTCACAACTACAAGTCAACACAAGCTTGAGGTTGAATCTGTGCAGAATATTCCTTTTTGTTAGAGACGCCTCACAGGTTGATATTAGGATTTATAATAATAATAACAAGCATGAGCACTTTGGCTTTAAGCTGCATCAGCAGCCCAGATTGTCATTTAAGCACTGGCCCCTAAAACACTGAGTGATTAAAGCTTTGGAAAATCTTAGTGACTTCTATGACATCAGCTCCTCAGGCGCACACAGCCTGACATTTGGAGAAGTTTTATAGGACTTCAGTTGTATCTTGGACCTGCACGGTGCTTTAGAGCAGTGGTCCTCAAAGTGGGCTGTGCAGCCCTGAGGAAAAGTGTCCTCTTAACAGTCTTCTGTGAGAGTGTGTGTCCTCAGGAAAAATGGACGAGTAACTGGGACGCACAGGTCCAAACTAACTCGGTTTAAAGATCCCAAGATATTCAATCTCCAGACTTGAACTTGTGATCTGAAATGATCCATCAAACAAAATAATGATATTCAGCCAATAATACGATCCTCTGTTGTCTTAGAAGATCAATAACATAAGTTTTTCATCTCTATTAAGCCGTCTGTCATTTAGTGCTTTAGCAGTGAACTCTTTGCCTCCTGTTTCCACCAGAACTACATCACAGCTGATGAGCTGAGGCGGGAGCTCCCTCCAGACCAGGCGGAGTACTGCATCGCCCGCATGGCACCCTACACGGGGCCCGACGCTGTCCCCGGAGCCCTCGACTACATGTCCTTCTCCACCGCCCTGTATGGAGAGAGTGACCTGTAGAGGAGGCGAGACGAGGAGGAGGGCTGGACAGATGAGGGGAGGGAGAGGGAGGTAGAGGAGACGCCATGAGTCGAGCGCTGGGAAGAATTTTGAGTGGTGGTCACGATGTGCCCCTGCGAGTGCCGGTTTAGAAATCGTTAAGAGCTTGCTGATTGAGCTGTAGTTCTCGTGGTTTGGCCTCCAGCCCCACTGTCACAAAAGGATGTTCAGCATCAGTTTGTCATAAAGGTTTATTTGAACGGGCACATCTGGGGGCGTCTGTGGGACGGGGGGCAGAGTTGCTCTGTAGTGCGGGTCCTTAGCTTCACCCTCTCTGCCTTCATGTGGTTTAAACGGGGAGGGACGGGGGTTAGGATTATGGGGGGGCACAAGCTAATCTGATACTTATGCTAATTTTTGTTTATTTTATTATAATTTTTCTTCTTCTTGCCGGGCGGGGGTCCAGGCCGTGTGTGTTGGGGGGGGGTTTGATGTGGCGACTGGCAAGTTTATGTATTAGATCCTGGAGAGATTTATGCTGCGGGGTCAAGGGTCAGAAGGGTGGGATGGAGGGGCGGGGGAGTTGACCAACCACAGATAAAATGACCTATTCACCCATAATTCCCACGTTGCTGGATAAGGTGACCTGTCTAACCTCAGCTCTTTTCCTCTTCCTGTCTGCGTTTCTTTTTTTCCCCTCTTTTTTTCCCCTCTTTTTTTTTTTTTTTTCTCCTTTCTCATTCGTTTTCTGGACCAGGTGGGTGGTGGGAGGTGGGGGTGGGCGGGGCTTAGCGCTGTACATACTTATTTTTTCAGTCTGAAGAATGACACACACAGAGTCCCAGCCGTTGAGAGTAATCAACCGCAGGCCTTTCAGTAGGGCAAAGTAGACATTTATTATTAAAAAGATAATAAAGAAAATGAAACAAGAAAACAGAGAAATTTAAAAGCAGTTTCACCAGTGGATAGGTTTGAGCTTCCAGAAGTCTTTTCTTCAGGTTTTACTTTTTAATTTTGGCCAAACTAACCATGGAAAAGTTGACCTAAAGGCCTTCTCCTGTATAAAATCCATGATGAGCAACAGCATAATAATTACAAATATCTGCTTCTGTGAAATTATTCCTCTGTTAGGCATCGGGTGCTTGTTTAAGTACGAAAACCTCACATTTATATAAAAGTTTATACTGTATTACTCAAAGTTAGTCGAGTTTCATCTACCTGGCATACATACGCGGGATGTCACTGATCCGTTTGATTGGCCGAATGAAGGTTCGTGAGGGGGAAGGTGAAAGTATTTAATAGATAAGCGTGCCTGTTGGTGGCTACAGCCCTGTTCCCTCCTCTATCTCTCTCCCCCTCACTTTCTCCCCCCTCCTTCCCCTCACTTGTTTCTGAAGAGAAGTACAAAAAATCACTGCTAAGGAAGGAGGGAGGGGAACGTTTGGGGAGACTCTGTGTAAACATTCCATTGTACGCAAAACGAAGAAAAACTTTTTAAAAAAAGGAAAATTGTTATGTAAAAGAACTATGCAATCATATTGTGCGCTCAATATCTGGGGAAAGCTGTGGTCATCAAACCAGGTCCCGCCTGAGTTTCCTGTCAAAATTAAACGGAGGACAAGTGATTTCTCCCGTCTTCGTGGGAGAGGAGGGGGAGATGACGGGAAGGAAGCGGGAAGAGAAGACTCGGACCAAAAGCTTGTTTCTCTTTTTCATTCTTTTTTTCCCTGCGAGGTTGTAAAGAAATGAACTCTGGAATTGTGATTTTGTTTCTTTTTTTTTTTTCCCTTTTTTGTACTCTTTAATATCAAACCTTATCTGCTGTACTGGAAACTGCAACGCCTTCTGTCTCTAATGATAAGTGAGTTTCACAAAGCACACATAAAAAGTTTCCTTACAAAAATACCTGCGACTGTCTTCATGCCTCGTTCTTGTGCGTGTCTGTGTTTTTAAACTTGAGCTACAAAAGAGCAGATTTTCTCTTTAACTGTAAAAAGGAAACAAATCTCCAGCTTTGTACTTTGTGATAATCTTTGGTTTGTTGTAGCGTTACCAAAGTCATTTAGGCAAATGTAAACAAACTAAAATGGGTCTTCAGTAACATCTTTTACACTCAGAGTGATTAAGGCATGCTGTGGTTACTGCAGCAGTTTTTGTTTGCTGACCAATCTGAAGGAAACATCATCATCCAGCACAATTGGGCTTATCCAGGTGACTTTCTTCAAGTCCACAGGAAATGTCCACTTAACCCTCAAAATGACCGTGATAAGTTAGCCAGTGGGATTGTTTGAGCGTTCATGAATTACTGAGAACCTGGAGTCAATGCAAAAGACTGCAGAGGTGGAACATTTAAATCACATTAAAGCTTGTAATTACAAAATAAACCCCGAATTTCACATGTACATTAACTTCCCATTATCCTCACCAAGAGGCCAATAAAAATACAAAGCTCTGAAAGTTGAAGACTAAAACATTCATGATAGTATACACGTCATAAAGCTCTCATAAATGCATTACTCTGCATGTGCTGACTCTGCAGAGAGAATATTTAACGAGAGATGATATGAAAGTAACAGAACGCCAGAGAGCCACACTGCTAGGTGGTGAGAATTACAATGAAATACAAATTATAGTCATGCGTGCAGTTTAGGACACGTGAAGTGCTATTACATGATTCCCAGCCAAGTTCAGCCAAGCAGCCAGTGAGGCTTTCTAATATAAATACGGAGTTGATACCATTTGAGTCATGCTCAGCCTGCACAGAGATTTTTGTGGGCTAAAGGAAATATTGGTACACTTCATCCTCTGTGCCAGTAGCACTCACTGAAGGGAGACAAATGAAAAGAAAAAGAAACCCACAGCACACAGGCATGGAGCTGCATTCTTCCAAAACACCAGTAACTTGGTGTTTTGGGTGCTGAGAGCACAATTTAACATGTCTGTGCGCAATCTATCGTAGGTGTTCAGACAGGTAAGAGAACAGATCATGGGATAAAGGAGATCACGCAGAAACTGATTTTATATAGTTGTTTCATGAAACAATCTTTGTTCTTCTTAAAGTTCAATGATCCATGATTGTGTTACTATTTTTAACATTTTCACTTAGGAAGTTTTTTTTTTTCCCCTGCTTGTGATGTTTTTCCATTTAGTGAATTCCTCCAATTTCAAATTCATAACTATCTTTATACTTGATGTTAGAAGTGCAAATTTTTTTACTGCCTCCAAAAGATGAAAATCTGATCAAGTAAAAAAAAAGTAATAAAATCACTTAATTTAAAGTAGTACCGATCACAAGCTACTTGTTTATTTTAAATAAACGCATTCACGCAGCATCTCCATATTTGTCCCAATCAGTGCACTGAAACACGGGCGTGTGCGGAGGGGAAACGGGGCGACACCTTTCAATACTTTAAGCATATATATTGATGCTAAATCTTTTGTACCAGGAGGATATACAGGATTGTAAGTTAACTTGGGAAGAAATCTTTCTTTCACCGCTTTGTAGACCACTCTACCATTTCAATAATACATCTGTATGAGGGCACAGGGCTACACGGGAGCTTGAGAATCATACATAGCGCAAAAGTTTCTAATAAAATCTTTTAATCTAATTTAATTTTAATTTATTCATTTTAAATGCTGAAAATACCCCAGACCCCTTAACTTTAGAGGGGGCTTTGGGTTTTTCCTTTACTTTGTCTCTCCTTCGTGCACACAGATGTTCATGCAGTTGTAAAAATAAACACATTTTTCTTTTGTTTATTTGAGTCTAAATTGCTTTCTTGAGCTTTCAGAAGTGGCTCCAGGTGTTGTGAGAGAGACTGGACTGGATTTACAAGCGTGTAAGTTTGAGAGCTTTGTGCTTCACCCTTTGGATTGCGTTAGCGTTTTTGGCACGAGGAGAGCGGAAATGGGCAGTACACTTTGGGAAGCAGAGGGTCTCATGTGCGCGTGCTGAGCCACACTCCTCGGAGGAGCTCGCGACCACTTCGCAGCAGCATGAGGACGTGAGCAGGTCGGAAGGAGCGGCTCCTGAGTCCCGACGTGCCTCTTCTCTTCCTCCTCGATCACGCCAGCGCGCTCAAACTGTGGCCGGCCTCAGCTCTGAAACCTCTGCACACCAGAGAGCCAGCGGCGCGCGGCCGCTCCGCGTGTGCTCCTCCGTGGCAGCAATGATGCTCGCGCTCACCTTCACCTGCCGCGCGCTGCTCCTCTTCTTGCTCTCGGAGTCGGTTCAGACCGACAAGACGGCGGTAAGACCCGAACTCTCATTTCTCTGGCAGTTCTGTAACAGCAGCGGTGCAGGCGCAAACATGTCTGGAAAAATAAGGTTTCGCTTTATCGAAGCGCGTTCACGGGTCACTCTAACGTTCCTGATTGGACACAGCGGTTAATGCGTTACTGGACTAATGGACCTGACCACAGTTATAATAATGTGTTGTTCTGTTCTGCTTAGACTTTCCTGTACATTCGTGTCTGTCTTGTCTTCGATCCTCAAACTAGTAACTGTAACCTAGTTTAGAATAAGTGGGTTAGTTTACTTAACTTTGTTAAACTTTTACACATTTGGACAAAAACAGTTTCCCGTAAACAGAAACAAAATCTAAAGGTGTATTTTTTGAGAGTATTTTTTATTTTGAGTATTTTTGAGAAAAATTAACCAAAACTGCAGTAACGTTATGTCTGTCTAAGAGCTACCAAAGTGAGTTGTATCACATAAACAACACACGTTAAAGATGAAAAGTGAACAAAACTAGCCGCACGGCAGGATTTCATGTGATGTTATGATACAGTCAGATCCCGCAGATTTTAAATAGGATCTAAAGAGGAAAATGTATAAATTTATAATTGATGCACATTTAAGCAGATCACTTCCACCTTACAAGACTCACAAAGTAACCTTATATTAGACAGAATTATCTGCTCTTCACAGGTGAATGCAAAGGACAGAAAACAGATCAAGTGCAGTCATATAAATATCTTTCAATCATAATCAATGACATACTCAATTTTCATTAGAATTGCAAATCGGTCTGCAAAAAGGTCGCCGCGCCTTTACAGCCTCAGGAAACTCGATCATTTTCACACTGACTGAACAATTTGAATTTTCTTTTATCGTTCTTATATTCAGTCTGCTTTATCTTTTTGCTTGGTGGCATGGTTCGGTCAGACCTGAATCGGATAGTGAGATGCTCCAGTCGTCTGATAGGCGAGTCACAGCCCTGTTTAGCCTCCCTGTACTCTAAACGGGTACGACAGATGGCTTTATCAATTCTGAATAATGGTTCCCATCTTCTACGGGGTGAATTTTTCTTTTTAAATTAAAGAAAAAGTTTCTTTTATCTTTTATACTTACCAAATATGTGTCTATCAGGTTTAAATAGGTGTGTGTGTTAGTGAAGGGCTGCCAAATGCTATCATATATCAAGAAAATTTGCCTACGGGTATAAATAAAGTAACCTTGAAGGAGGGCAGGACAGCAGATCATGTCCATGATGCACACTTTATTAGCTACACCAGGCTAGTACTGGGTTTGGTCCATATTGACATGGCACAGTGAGCTTGTTGTCATGTTCAAGAAACCTGTGTTTTATGGCATGGTGTGTTATCCTTAAGTAGCTGTCAGAAGATTTTATCTGGTCGTAAATGGATGGAAATGGTCAGCAGCAACACTCAGGTAGCACTAAGGACCCTGAAGTGTGCCGTGAAAACATCCCCCACACCATTACACCTTTGCCACCAGCCTGAACTATTGATATGAAGCAGCTTTCCTTTTGTTTATTGTTGACCCTACCATCTGAATGTTGCAATAGAAATTGAGACCCAACAGATCAGATGACATTTTCCAGTCTTCTGTTCTTCTGGAGAGTTTTCTGTTCTTAGCTGGCAGGAGTGACGTCTGCTGCTTTAAGGTCCGATGTACTGAGTCTTCAGAGCTGCTCTTCTGCACACCTTGATTGTAACGACTGGGTGACTTTGAGTTACTGTTGATCTGAGCTTCCTATCAGCTCAGATCGCTCTGATCATTCTCCTCAAACGTCTGTCTTCAAAAAAGTGCATCACTGGATGTTTTCTCTTTTTTGGATGATTCTTGTTCATGTTTGTTCCTTTTGTGAAAGGTCTGTGAAATTAATTCATCATCAGGTGGAAAAACAGTCATTATTTCAGATATGTTTGTAAGGTACCGGTAGTTACTCAGTATCTAACCCGGACTCTGGCCTAAAAACCTTTAAAGTCAAAAGTTTATCAAGGTAATAGGTACAAGCCATTTTTAAAAACGTGCATTTATGAGGCATTTAATAGGCCATTACATTTGATATGAAAGAGGATTGACTATATTCCATAAAAGTTGTTGGCGAGCTTCTTGGAAAATTGCAGGTCTTGGGTGGAACAATAGTATTAAAGACTTTAGTTTTATTGCTTTTGAACTACTAGCCTTGAGTTTTATTCACATTTGTATGTTTCATGCAGATACCAACAACCGTAAGATTTAGTTTGATTTGTTGGACTTTAACAGAAAATATCTGCATGTATACTCACAAATTAGCTGCTTTTGTGAAAGAGTATCATTCCTCTAAAGTGTAAAGGTTAGTTTTCTCAAAGAAAAGTAAACCAAAGTCGACCCCTTTACACCAAAATTCTACCCAAGCTTAAATCTTCCAGGAGGACCAAGTTAAAAAAACACAAACGGAGCTGCAGCGGCAACAGCGCTTTTAGTGTGGGTAAGAAAAAAAATCTTGCAGCTGCTAAATGTTAAAAAGTGTTTTATCTGTGTAATTGAGTATTACTGTTCAGGGACTGGCCACTAACAGTAATGCCACAGTGGGTCTAAACTGTCTGGTTTTATCATCTTCATAATCACTTTAGTCAAAGCGAGCAGTCGTGACACGGCCTCAGAGGAGCGTTTGTATTATTCTCTTTATTCTGGCCCACACGATGTTTATATTCAGCACAAAGACATTCATTAATCGGGTTGATTTAGTAGTTGTCCAGGGTTTGTGAGAGCTCCCTGGAGAGCAGGAGGGTAGGACCAGCCAGCAGGACCACAACACACACACACACACACACACACACACACACACACACACACACACACACACACACACACACACACACACACACACACACATACACACACTGCACTGCGCTGCCAGGCAAATATTTAAGCTGCTACTCATGGGAGATAGACAGGTGTGTGTGTGAGAGAGAGAGAATGAAAGACAGCCCCAGTAATCCTGCCATATATTTTACAGTGTGCTAGACAAATATCAGCTATACACTGTGAGTGCGTGTATAAATATTATAGAACATGAAATATGGCACGCTGACTAAAGTCACTGCACACTGCCAGAGGCACTCTGAATAGAAATACTTCAGTGCTAACATGGGGGGGGGGGAAAAAACAGAGCAACAGTGTTACGTTCTTAAAAACTACTATTTGGAATAAAGAAATAATGCAAGAGGCCAGCTGGAAGTTTACCTGAAAATACCATTTCAATGTTTCTGACTACTGGTATTCCTTTTCAGCTCAGTACAATTCAGTTTTACTTATATAGACTCACACACCAGTCATTTAATACACCAGTGTTGGAGAGAGAACCTCAGGAGATCTCCAGTGAGAAGCACTTTTCTATTTCAACTGGTTGAAAGTGGAGATAGAGAAGAAGTGCAGAGAGAGATTAAAAACAACAAACGGCTTCGTTTTCAGGAGTGAAATAAAAAACAGATTGGCACTGATGGCCTCTTTCCAGATGTGCAAACTGCCAATTCCATGCACGCCTTTTAAACCGAGCACTGATAACGAGCCACATGATCCCTCTTCTCTTTGGGCCAGAGGACACGGTGTCCATGTTTCAAAAGAAAACAAAAACCTGTTTGATTATTCTGAACAGTTTTCCACTTTGCCTGAGTCCATTTGAAATGAGCTTTGGTCCAGCAGTGTTTCTGGATCATGTGCACGTACGGCTTCTTTGCACGGCAGAGCGCTACCCTGCATGTGTGGATGGAGAGGTGCACTGCAGATGATAAACATTCAAGCCTTCATAGTTTTACATTGGGAAGCAATGTTTTGAAATTGTTCCTCAATTTTTAGATGTGTTTTTTGTCGACTGGTCAATCTCTGTCCATGTTTACGTCTGAGAAACCCTGCCTCTCTGTGATGCTCTTTTTATAACCACTAATTTTACTGATGGGGTCATAATTAACCTAATTAGTTATAAAATGTCTCAGTTTAAACATTTGATATGCTTTTTATTTTTAGTCATGTTTATGAGATTTGCAGATCATTACATTTACATTTTACAAAGCGTCCAAACTTTTTTTGGAATTGGGGGGCTTGGGTCCTGGTTGGTGTGTTGCCGGGGTTGTGGGCGGGTGGGTGTATGGGGCCCCAGCCCTGGCACAGGGTGCTGCCAGTGCATCGAGCCACATGGGGGGCTCTTCAACTGGTGGGGGAGGCTGTTACATCTTGCAGAAGCTTTCCTCTCTTCAGGAACTCTCTCTGCAGGAGGGGGGAGATACAGGAGAGGTGGAGGAAGATCTCAGCCTGGGCGTCTATTGTCTTGTGTAGTCTGGAAGATGAGTGAATGACGGGGTGGGTGCAGTTTTCTATGTGGTGGGGTCGGGTGGGCTGTCCCGGGCTCTGGGGCCGGGCAGCGCTGCTGAACTGGGCCCCGGTCCGGATGGGCCTGGGCCCCCTTTCCCTGGTGGGTTGCGGAGTATGGGGGTGTCACTTGCCCCTCCCTTCCTTCCCTCCCTCCCCATCTCCAGCTGCCTCCCTCTTCCTGCTGCACCACAATCACCCACACATGCAGGGCCTTGGGGTAAAGGTGTGTCACCAGGGTGCAGGGGAGGCATCCCCCCCTCTGTCCCCTTCTGGCTTCTTGTGCCTCAATTTTATCCCACAACTTAGACATTCACATTACTCACACTCTCATTACACATACATATAGGATCTTGGGGGTGGGCACGCTACACGGAATCCAAAAGACCATCAGGGTGTACACCCCACCCCTGGCGTGGTTGCCCACCTCTCAATTTTAAATACACGTAGACATTGAGGGCTAGCAGGAGGGACCATGCGCTTACCTGCTGCTCTCTGGCAGGTAGCTCCATGCCCTCCTGGGGTTTAAATGCACCTTAGAACACACATGCATCAACACTACATATGAGCAGGCGGAGGGAGGTTTGGAGTCTTCACACACCCCCGTTCTCTGCAGCCTGTTGGAGCGGGGGGGCTAGGAGGAGGAGTTGG